CTCGTAGCTCGAAATTTTGCCTATGAAAGTGCCTTCTGCGTACTAACAAAAAAATTTCCTCATGAAATTTTACTATAACTATAATCTTTTAAACAAACATTAACCTACTGATGGGACCCTAACCCTAAACTAAATTGCGAAACAATTTTTTCAATAAGATCATATAGTCTGCGACTGGTGATACTAGATCTTTAAGTGAAATACTGCGCAGGCTGCGCAGTGTCCCATCTCTAGGCATACCCATGGGCATGAGGGCCCAAAGAGCATGCCCAATTTTTTTTTAATAATATAGTTTATAGTTTATCAAAAAAAAGATTTCAACTGTTGATCTTTTAATTTCATTAATAATTGCTTCTACAGCTTTTGCATGGCATTTTGTCTTCTAAATAAAGTATGTCAGTTTTGGGATTATTTTGCACAGCACCTTTCTAAAGCTAACGATGAGGTTTGCGGTGATTTTTAAAAAGTACTTTAAAACCATATAAATTAGTTACCCGGGCAATTGATTTACACTAGCCAATCAGACGAATTTCTTCCTATGACTAGATATCTGTAAATTTTTTTAGCTCTTAGATATAAATACAGTCTTACAGTCTTCTCAGTATAGGATAAGGACAATGGAAGTGCAACCAGACGACGATTGGATTGACGAAGAATTTAATAATAAAAATAAAAAGAACAAAAAACAAAAAAAAAAAAAAGGATCAGAAGAAGAATCAGAAATAGTTGAAGCTGACAAGCCGGTTGAAGCTGACAAACCTGTTGAAGAGAGTAGTGAAATTCGAATATTAAGCAAAAAAGAAAAAGAAAAACTAAAGAAGCAAAAAGAAAAAAAGAAAGCTGAGACTGAAAAGAAAAAAACGCAATCAAATACAAAAAGTGCTGAAACTACTAAAGAGGAAAATGTAGCAGCTGTGACCGTATCTACCGAAGATTCCAAACCACCAGCGTCAGAGATACCACAAACATCTGAGGATCCACCGGAAGCCGCGATTGATGACTCAAAAAAGGACAAAAAGAAAAAAAAAAACAAATCAACAAAAGAGGAAGAAAAAAAGGCACCAACAAAAAAGAAACCACCAATTGCGGCTATTCGTGCACAACTAGAGGCTCAGCGGTTGGTTTATTTGTTAAAATGGTGTAGTGTAATCTTACAGTATATAACTGATATTTTATTAGTATCGCTGAGGAAGAAAGACTACGGCAAGAGCAGGAAGAACAAAAGCGAATTGAGGGTAATCATTATAACGTATAGTTAACAATTATCGCGTTCTTCATTACATATAATATTTTATTTTCAGAGGAACGAAAGCGTAAAGAAGAAGAAGAGAGACAGAAAGAATTAGCTAAGCAGAGAAAGAAGGAAAAAGAAAAGGTGTGAAAATTTAAGTTTTATTTGGGTTGTGTAATATAGGAATCAGAATGACTCATTACCAATATGCTACTATGTTTATGTATATTAGGAAAAGAAAGAACGGCTTAAAAAGGAGGGTAAATATTTAAACGCTGCTCAAAAGGCAAAGCAGCAACAAGCCCAAAGGCGGTTGCAGCAGATGATAGAATCTGGGTATAAGGTAGAGGGTCTTGATAAGGACGGTGAACAAAAAACAAAAAAAGTAATTTACTCTAATAAGAAAAAGGGCCAAACAAAACAAATTTCTGATAAAACTGAGGTGGATGTCTCAAAGCTATCAGTGGGCAATAGCTCAGGAACTCTAGAAAATATAGAAGTTGAAAAAAAAATTGACACTAATAATGACACAAAAGAAGAAAACGAGGAAATAGAAAACAAATCCATCGAAATAAAAGATAATATCAGAGAACAATGGGATGAGTCATCATCAGATGAAGTAGACGATGGGACATCAGATTATGAAAAGATCCCAACAAATGATGGTATATTTTAAGATTTAAGATTTATAATTATTCACATTGGACTATGCGCATGCTAAATATGCATTTCACGTCATATATAGTCACTTCAATTGAAATCCCACCGGTGGCTCCTACAAAAGTTGATACGTCCAAAAAGCAGGAGCCAACAGAGGATGTCAATACAGATTCGACGCAAAAAACTATACCAGCCAAATTTCCCACGAAACAAGAGCCAGCGTCCGCGTCAGTTAAGGATGCAAAGTCAAAAGCTGAATCTGAGAGTGAGTCAGATGAACCTGAATCAGAAGATAATGATGAGGATAGCGATGAAGACTCTGACAATGAAAAAATGACAGAACATCAAAAACAAAGAAACAAACAAAAGGTTGAGGCTGCGGAACGCCGAAAGGTAATTTCGAAATTATTGTGATTTCGCATGCATAATTTTATATAATTATTTTTTTGTTGTAGAAACGATATGAAGAGGCACTCGCCAATAGATCTAAAGACGATTTGAGATCGCCAATCTGCTGTATCTTAGGACATGTCGATACAGATATGTACATTATTTTGTTATTATTCTTATTTTACATGATAGTTCATGTTCTTATGTATTTTGTGTCTTAACCATAACACGTAGGAGAAATTTATGGTCATCAAAGGAAACGAATGTTGACATTATGGCGCAGTTATGATGATATATTAGACAAACAATTGTTGCGTTTTTTCAGTATTGAATATCATATTCACCGTTTTTAATAATTATTAACTACAGGAAAGTGCTTTGGAAAGGGTACTCCTGTTTTAATGTATGATGGACGAATCAAAGCTGTTGAAACAATTAAAGAAGGTGATCAAGTGATGGGAGATGATAGTACACCTCGCAATGTTAGTGGCGTCACCAGTGGCAAAGGTGTTCTTTACAAAATAGTACCAATAAACTGTAGATTTGCTCAGCCTTTTGTGTGCAATGATGCACATATCCTTGTTCTTCAGATGATGTCGGGACCATCCTTGCAATCTCAATGTAGCAAGGATGGAAAAGCATTATTTAGGCTCGTTTACTTTACACATGATAGTGTCACAAATTTGATACAAAAAAAAGTCAAACTTTATCCGTTTCGAAGTACGGACTATTCTACTATCAATAGTGCTAAGCAAATTGCCATTCGCGATTTGGAATTACTTAATAGGGTTGAAAAACTCAATTTGGATGACTCGAATTCCCGCATTTCTACCGTGAGACCAGGCTTCATATGGCAACCAACCGTTACCCAATTTTTAAATTGTGATCCTGAAGTGCAGTCTCAAGCCAAAATGTTTATTCCAGGAAAAGTTCGATTTCCGAGTCAAGAGGGTGCGTTTGGCAAAATCGTTGAGAGTATGGTCGATATACCTTCTTCTCCTGCTATTATTAAATTATGTGCGTGGTTAGTTGGCTTTTGGATTGGCACGAATATAGTTAATAAACACAGAAAGTGTCATTTTTCAGACCATGGCAGAGAAATTATGTCAGTTTATAGAATATCATATTCTGAATATAAAGCTGCAAACCGCAATTTATTATTCCGCCTTTTGCAAGAACTTGACATCTTTATATACAAAGACATTCCTGACATCATGATGCTCGATGATATTATGCAAGTTCGTCTTCCTTTACTTTCAGGTATTATTTGTAGTTTTGGAGAGTCACAAGATAAAATTGCTAGGATGGTAAAAAAAGATGACCCTATAATACGAAAATTCGTCCGCCTTTCCCGTTCATGTGGTTTCGCGTTATTCTCTTATGATTCGGTCTCTGGAACGGATAGAAAGGTTGGTAAAGTACGAGGACAATATATACACGTGATGACAAGTTATTTATACAATTTTTTTTAAAGAAACAGGGGGTTACAAGGTCACAAAAGAAAGAACAGTATTGGAGATTTGAAGTTGAAGAAATTGGAATAGGTGACTATTATGGCTTCGTAGTGGATGGAAATCACCGCTTTTTATTGGGTGATTTCACTGTAACGCATAATGTATGTAATCTGTTTTACTATACTGTGTTGAAATAATCGATCATGCAATACTCAAAGCATAAGTATTTAAGACAAAATTGTTAGATAAAGTCCGCCAAACGAATGTCCAAGAAGGTGAAGCTGGAGGTATTACACAACAAATTGGTGCCACCTATTTTCCCATGGAAACTATTAAAACAAAAACAGCACCGCTTAATAAGGTATTGTAACCATTTTTTATTGTACAAAAGTTTGTCATAACTAATTTGTTTGATTCCTTATTACAGGATGGAAAGCAGCAATACAAACTCCCAGGATTATTGATTATTGATACTCCTGGCCACGAGTCTTTTACTAATTTACGTTCAAGAGGATCTTCCTTATGTAATATTGCCATACTGGTAGTCGATATAATGGTAAGTCGATCTGTTTATATTAATCATATTACGAACTAATTATTTTATGGCAGGGTGAAATCCGCTATACAGATCACATAAGGGTGAAATCCGCTTTTGCCCTAACGTGATCTACGTAGCGGTTTTACTAACTTACAGCGTGGGTTTCATCCTCTCCCATTATTTTTATTTGTCATCTGATTTATCATCTGATTATTTTTCAGCATGGGCTAGAACCGCAAACATTAGAATCTATAAGATTACTGCGAGATCGTAAAACCCCATTCATTGTAGCTCTTAATAAGGTACATTAACATTAAATAATCGTAATTTTATTAAATGATTAAATTATTATCTTTTTATTAAAAATATCAATTAAAGATCGACCGTATATACGATTGGAACCCTATACCAGATAATGCTTTTCAGGATTCTCTTGAGAAGCAAAGTGCAACTGTCAAACGCGAATTTCTGGACCGAGTTGAACAAACTATCCTAGCTTTCGCAGAACAGGTAATCAAATAGCTGTTGTAATAAACGATGTATAGTATTTGATATAACCAAAATTGATATTAATTTCTAGGGATTAAATTCTTGTCTTTACTATGAGAATAAGAATTTTGCTAAAAATGTTTCACTTGTCCCGACATCCGCTATTACTGGAGAGGGAATTCCTGATATGCTCATGCTATTAGTAAACCTAACGCAAACCAGGATGAGCGATAAATTAATGTACTTGTCTGAATTGGAGTGCACAGTTTTGGAAGTTAAAGTAATTGAAGGTCTTGGTATGACCATCGATGTTGTTCTTTCCAACGGCGTTTTAAATGAGGGTGATAAAATTGTTCTCTGTGGTCTCAATGGGCCTATCGTAACAACCATTCGTGCATTGCTGACACCACAGCCATTGAGAGAACTTCGTGTTAAGTCAGCATATGTACATCATAAAAGTGTGAAAGCTGCTCTCGGTGTAAAAATTTCAGCACAAGATCTTGAGAAGGCAGTCGCGGGTTCTCGACTTTTGGTTTGTGGACCTGATGATGATGAAGACGAACTCAAGGAAGAAGTCATGTCTGATCTAACGAGCTTGTTGAACTCTGTTGATAAGTCAGGCAGAGGTGTATGTGTGCAAGCATCTACTTTAGGTTCTCTAGAAGCACTTTTGGAATTCTTGAAAGTATCGAAGATTCCAGTATCGGGTATAAACATTGGCCCCGTACATAAAAAAGATATTATGCGTGCAGCTACTATGCTAGAGAAGGTTAGGGAGTAAGTATTGAGGAAAGTGCTACTATCATAATACAATCATGCATGTATTAAATTTTTTATTATATAATTTAGGCTTGCTGTTATTTTGTGCTTTGATGTTAAAGTTGAAAAAGAAGCACAAGAATTAGCAAAAGAGCTTGGAATCAAAATTTTTGAAGCAGATATTATTTATCATTTGTTTGATCAATTTACAGCGTACAACAAGGTTTGTTCTTAGCATCTTCAGTCATAAGGATTTGAACTATCGTATTGAATAGATTGTTTTTAACTTAATAGGATATTGTAGAGCAAAGGAGGAAAGATCAAGCGCCCCAGGCAGTTTTTCCTTGTGTTCTTAAAATTGTACCTAGCGCCATCTTTAATAAAAGAGACCCTATAATCCTAGGTGTTGATGTTGTTGAAGGTGTTTTAAGAACCGGGACTCCCATATGTGTTGTTAAAACCGACCCTGCAACTAAGGTTTTTTATTTGTTTCGTTCTTTTGTTTCTAAACAAGAAATGACCATATATCTAAATAATACATTGTTGTAGACCCGAGAAATTATAAGCCTTGGTAAAGTCGCAAGCATGGAACAGAATCACAAAGCAGTGGATATTATTAAAAAAGGTCGATCTGGTGCTGGTGTTGCAATTAAATTGGAGTGTCCAGGGTATGAAACTCCAAAGCTGTTTGGAAGGCATTTCACCGAAAGTGACGAGTTATATAGTAGAGTGAGTTGTTCATATTTTACTTAATGTATGCCTTTTTTTTAAGACATAAAACTTGTCTAATTTTCACATATTGCTCCTGTTTTAAAGATTTCACGTCAATCTATTAATGTGTTAAAGGAATCATTTCGAAATGATTTAAGCAACGAAGAATGGGCTTTAGTAGTCAAGCTGAAAAAGATTTTAGGCATTGATTAGCTGATTATTTATTTGTTTTCTGTATTGATGATATTCGTTTAATTTTATTAGGTTTATCTCAATTGAGAGATTAAACCTAATATAAATTAATGTTTCATTAATAAAAAGTTCAATAAAAATAATTATGGAATTCAACTTTAAATTCAGGTTAACCCGATTTTATATTAAATCGATTTTGTAATATTATAATCCGGTTGTATGACCCGGGTTTAAATTAAAAAATCGAATTTATTTTTGATCTTTAAACACGTAAGTTAGCATAACAAACTTAAGCAACAATCTTATTAATATTATTGCAAGTTTATAATTAGTATTAATATCAAGTGAATTACAGTTATTGATTTCAATACTATTAGTTGAATTTATAGAATTAATTTAGAATTATCAATAATAAATTTATATCAAAAAAATAGAATAAAATTTATAAAAAAAAAGTTAAAATTTAAAAAAAATTTTAAATTTTTTAATACATTTAAACAAATTAGTCAATTTAAATGAATTTAAGCTTAAATAATTTTTATATTTTTATTTGATAATATAAGTTTAATAATATAATTATTGTTAAGTTTTAAAATAAAAAAATAAATTAAAAGGATTTTGTTATTAAAATAAAGAAGTTAAATTAATATTATTTGAATTATTTTTATCTGCTATATTATAATTATTAATTAAAATTAAAATTAATAATTAGAAATACAGTTGAGGAACAACTTTTTTTAATAATCATTAAAAAATAAACAATAAAAAGAAAAATTTAAAATATAGTAAATAGAATTTAAATAAATTAAGTAGTATATAAAAAAACAATTACAAATATAGAAACCAAATTTTTACAATATTAATTAATATATTAAACAAAATAAGGGTGTGATGACTTAGTAAAGTAGGTAAATTGTCAACTCTTCAAGTAGTAGGTAGTGAGTTTAAAACCCACTTATAGCAAAAATTTTGATAATTTTCTATATAATACATAGGCAGTATTATAATAATAGCATTTTGTTGATCAGTTGGAATAAGATATTTGTAATTATAATCACATCAGCATAACTGGCAGGTTATAGATATTTGCACAATATTGGAGTTATATAGAAAAATGCAAACTGACATCAGATAGTGCAAACACAAGTCCTTGTGGCCATGTAAATCTGTAGAACTAGGAAGCCAAAGCCCACTTGGAAAGATCCAAGTAAAGAGGTAGTATAAATCTTTAATAGTACTACTGTAAAGACTAGACCTAGAAAATAAATACTAACATCAGTAGAATAAATATATGAATATTATGAAAGATTTTGTATACTAAAAATCTTTTGAAATAGCTGCAATTGACATAAAATTATTTTAAAATAAAATAATTTCATAATATTGTGAAACAAAATAATTTCAAAAGAATTTCAACTATTTTACAAAATTTTAAAAAATAATAAATCTAAAAAAAATAAAAATATATTTTAAAAATAATTAGAAATATTTAGAAAAATTCAAAATATTTTGAAAATATCAAAATAATTTCAAAATATTTTAAAATATTCGAAAGATTTTTAAAATAATTAAAAAATTTCAAAATAATTTCAAAATATTTCAAAAATTATGAAATAATTTTTATTAATAAATTTATTTTATTTATTTAAAATATTGCTATTTACATATTTTAATATATTTAATTATTTTTAATCTAAATTAACTTTATTTAATTACTAAAATTTAGCTAAAAAAAAGAAAAATTATTTGAAAATAATAAAAACAAATAAAAATGTTTTATAATTCTTCTTTAGTATCTTGATTTTTATTAAATAAATCTAAATTAAATATAAAAAATATTAGTGAATAATTTTAAAATATAATGAAAAATTACAAAGATATTTGAAAATAAATAAAAATATATAACAATATTTAAAAATTTTAAAAATTATAGAAATATTCTTAAAATACTACAAATTATAACAATAAAATAGTTGAAATTTAATATTATACCTTTTCTTAACCTTTTATTTATCTAATAAATTTTGTTAATTTTAATTAATATTAATAATAAATAAAGTATTTTAAAATAATACAAACTATTTTAGATTTTTGTGAAATATTTTTTTGTTTACTGCAACTTGTTAGGATATTTTAAAAATATTTAAAAAGATAAAATAAAAAAATATTTAATAAATTGATAATTAAAAAAAAAGATATGATGACTTAGTGAAATAGATAAGTTGTTATATTCCCAAGTGGTAGATGGTGAGTTCAAAATCACCAATGCCGAAATTTGGATAATCATATATATAATATATAAATGATATTATGGCGATGACATTCTATCGATTAGTTAGAATAGGATACCTGTAATTATGATCACACCAGCATGACTAGCAGATCTGAGGCATCTGTGTAACCTATTTTATGGAGGAATGCAAACTGGTACTGGGCAGTGCAAACCTAAAATAAGTCTTTAGGCTATGTAAATTCATAAAACTGGAAAGCCAAAGCCTACTTAGAAATTCTAAGTAGAGAAGTAATACAGATCTTTGATAGTACTATTATAAAGACTAGATCTAAGAAATAGATACCAATATGAAGAATTCGAGCAGACAAGAACCTTGGATAAGAGGTACCACCAACCAAGTCACTGAATTTTAGACCAGAGAAAAAGGATATTGGGCTGGCCTCAATATACCAAGAACAGGTCACAGTTCTTTCAGACTATCTGGATTGGAAGTCTGGGTTCAAAGTAGGGGTATATTAAAAGTACTAGAGATATGCTATAAAGTCAGTATTAGGGTCTGGGTGAACTCTGTAAGGGTAACCCATGTTAGTGTTTTAAAAGTAAGTAGATAGTTAACAACAGGGGGTTTCCTGCATTTTACTGACAGATGACATATTCTAAAATGTGTAATGGTCTGAGAACTAGTACAAAAAGGATAGATAACTATACTGCTTAGATGGTATATTGATTAGGTATATATAAAAGATTAGCTAGGAATTCTAATATGACAGGACAGATGATCAAAAAGTTTAAAATGAATAATCTCCTAGTAGATTATAGGTATGACATCTAGTATAGAACTTTAGGGTGAACTACTTAAATAGGCAACCAAAAGTTGCATATGTAACTAGCTGTACTCTTATCTCTGTAAAAATAGTTGTAATAGCTAATCTAATATAAGTCAATAAAGTATCACTACAAGTTTGGTCTTTAACAAAAAAAAAAAAGATAATTGAAAAAAATATTTTTTAGAATATTTGAATAACCAATATAAAAATACTAATATTTAAATATTTTGTTATATATTTGATATATTCTGAAAATTATAAAAAATGTTACAAAATATTAAAATAATCAAAATTATGTACTAATATATACAAATATTTAAAATATTTTAAATTAATTTCAAATATAAACATAAATTTATATTTTTTCAGAATCTTTTGAAGTTTTGCTTTTTTTAGAACTTAATATATTATCTTCTGTATTCAATATTGAAATTTTTTTACTATTTTCTAACTTTCTCTAATAATAAAAAAAATTTTGTTATATAAGTAAAAATTCTATAATAATATAATAAATACATATCAAATTTCTTGAAAGTTTGTGTTTTATAATACTTTCAGAAATTATTAAACTATCTTACATAGGATCAAGCATAATTTGATAAACTACTATAGCATATACAACTTTTTTTAGAGTTATATTACTAGAGGACCAAATCTTATTTAATATAACCAATATATAAGTATCTTCTAAGTCTTCTAAAATATTTTTAAAAAGTCATTTATAATAATATTTGGTTTTTTCAGATCATTTCTATTTAAGAATGATCTTAGATTTTGTTTTATTATTAATAGAAATTAAGAGATCTCTAAATACAACAAATATAGCATTCTTAATCTTAGTAGTTAAGATACTCTGCAAAAATCCAAATTTTCTAAAAGCTATAAAAATTTAGTAAAAATTGAATATTAAAAATATTTGAAACTATTCAAAATATTGTAAAATTATTTAAAATAATTTGAAATATTTAAAATAATTTTGTGATATTTTGAATAATTTTAAATATAATAATAAATAAAATTTTTGAGTATTGTCAAAAAAAAAGAATAACTTTAAATATTATTAAAAATATTTTGATTTAGATTATTTAACAAATAAACAAAAAATAGTTATTAAGATACTTTTGACTAAAATTTATAATAAAGCTTAAAGTTATCTATTTTTTTAGCAATATTCATTTAATAAAAATTTTTTAAAATTTTTTACTAGTTTGTGAAAATTTTTTTCATAATAAGTATTCCACTATTTCTTTGACTTTCTTGAAATAAATTCAGAATGATTCACCTTAAGATAATATTTTATAGCTAATTTAAATTTTTTTTCTTTAGAATATATCACATTTTCTATCAAATCTTTAGAAGTCTTCTTTATAATTTGTTATTATAAAAAATTTATTAAAATAAATTATAAATTATAATTAAAATAAATATTAAATTAATTACTTTATAAAAAGTTTTTTCATTTATTGTATCAAATTTATTATTTAATCTTTCTTCTAATTCTTTAATATGATTATTTACTTGTTCAACCTAAAAAAAAAGTTGTTTAATATAATAAAAAAATTTCTTCTTAATTATTAAGAATTTTTGTAAGACTTCTTTCTGTTATAAAAATTGATAAAAATTTCTTATATTAATGAAAGTTTATATAAATAATCATTTTGAAGTTATTTGCAATATTGTATAATAATTCAAATAATTTAGAAAAATAAATAACAAAATAAATTAATATTTCTTAAATAGTTAAAATATATTTAAAATTTTTTAAAATATTTCAAAATATTATACAATATTTAAAAATAATAGCAAATATACAAATACAATTCTATTTTAATAATTTAATAACTATTATATTACAATATCTTAATAAATCTTAATAATTTGTAAATTATTATGAAATTATTATAAAAATTTAAAAATTTTAAATATCTTCAGTTAATAGTATAGATTTTAAAGAGCATAAAAGATTATTCCTTTCTAACTCTAATTCTGATAATCAATCTACAAAACTTTTTGATTTTTATAATAATATTTTTTAAGTCTTTCCTTTAGTCTTCTTAGATTTATCTTTCTTGGAAATTTTCTTAGAACCTGTAACCATATCTGAAAACATTTTTTAATATTTGTATATAAATTTAGTTAGTATAAATAAAAATAGTTCTATTTTTATTATATATTAAAAATTACTTAGCTTATAATATCAAAAAAGTAAAACTTAAAAAAATATAAATAAATTTAAAACAAACAAAAACAAAATAAATAAAAAATATAAAATAAAAAATATTTTAAAAAAGAAAAGTTAGTTAAAAATAAATAACAGTTGGTTAAAAATTCTTCAAATCTTTAATAGGTTTAAGTCTTCTGTAATATTTAAAAAATTGCAAAGTTTATTAAAGTTTTTGTAAAGTTTTACAGTTATGCAAAAATATTTGATGAGTTCTAAATAATTATGAAATTGGTCAATGTAATCAAATAAAAATATAAGCAATGTTAAATGATTATTTATATAAATATTGATCTGTGATCTATAAATTAATATTAACTATTTATAGTGATTAATTTTAATTTATTTAATCAATAAATTTTATTTATAATTTAATTGTTCTTCTTAAATAATATTTTCTAAAAATGTAATATTTTTTTTTAATTTATTACATAATTTTATAAATAGAAATATTAATATAAACTCATTTAATGCATTTATTTAATATCTATAAAATAAATTTTAATGTTTCTATATATATGTATATATATTAATAATATGCAAAATTAATTAATTTATTTAAAAAATAATTAATATAATGAAAATAAATGAAAATTAATTTTAAAATAATTAAATAAGTAATAAAATATTAAAAATAAACATTTGCCAACTAATTGAAAACTCTATATCTACTTGTTGGAAATCACCTTTACTTGAAGCTTATATCACTTCTTATTTGAATTCCTGGTTCAAAAATTTATCTTTTGTTAATAATAAAAAAAAAGAGTTTTAAATTTGTTATCTGAAATGTTAAAAATGACTAATATTACTATTAATGCCCTAATAAAAACTGAAATAAATCAGTTTTATAATGGTGAAGTTCCTGATTATGTGGTAAATGATAAGTTAGAATAATATGAAAAAGTAATTCAAATGAACAAATATTTTATTGAAGACCCTTTTTATAAAGCATACAATTTTCTTACTTGGTAGCATATAAATTATAAAAATTATCCAAATCCAGCAGTATTAACACACAAATTCCTTTTATTTCTAGTCACATCAGTACCTTCTGAATGATTGTTTTCAAATACAAGAAACATTCTTACTAAAAAGCAAAATCATTTGGATCCAAACCTAGTTCATGATATGTTATTTTTAAAAACCAATTCTACACTTTTTAATGTTTATTCTGAACTCAAATAAAATTTTATTAAAGTCAATAGTATTAAAATACATTATAGTTAAGATTGATAGAAAAATGAAATTTTGTTTCAGTTTTGTTAAATTGAAAATATTATTTATGTCTAAATATTTTTGCTTCAGTAAAGTCAAAAAATATACATTTAATAATAAATAAATAAAATAAACTTTTGCTGAATCAAAAATATCAAATTTTTTGCTTTAGTACTATACAATCAAAAAATATATATTTAGTAAATATAAATAAAACAATAAACATAAAATAAATACTTAAATTAAGTCATACTGCATGTGGCTTATATACATATAATTGAATTCTATGATTTGATTGGTTAAAATTTTTTTTTGAAAAATGGTCAACCTGGTCGACCAGGCTAATCTATATTAGCTTCAACCCTGGTCCAAGGTTTTGTGATTGGCCTATATCACTAGTCAACATAAACTGCAAATAGCCATAATTAATAGTTTTTTTATATCACCAACCATATATTTTTTTGTCAATCTATAAAGAGGCCCAGATATTTCAACATTTAAAAACTCTCTTGCATCGGATAACCTAAAAATAAGTAATTCCATTTTTCATTTACTAAAATTACTTGTAAACATAAGGTTCACTTTTTTTATAAATCTTATATCTTTTTCTAACCACATGTATTTGATATCAGAAAAAGCATTGCAAAATGCTTGTAGAATTAGGAACAGACATTCAACAACATAAGTTCATTTAAGCATATCATGGTCTAAAACTTTTGGCATTAAATATCTAAACATAAAAACAAAGTCTAGTAATGCATATTGAATAAAGAATATAAATCTACTCTCTTTCATTGTTTGATTATCTTCGATATTCATCTCTAAAATTATTTTAGATTTGATTTCAGAATAACTTGCTTGAAATATGTTTTTGAGCTTTTTGATTATCAAATCATTCATAACCAATTTGTTTCCCATTTGAAGCATATTTCTAACTTTTTCATACACCAGTTTTTCAACAGTTTCCTTAACAAGATGTATCATTGTATTAAAAGCACATATTATGTATGCAGAATATTCATTATATGTTGCTTTTGTAATAATGGGTTTATTAGATGTCATAATTAAAATGCTTGTAGCTAAATAAATTATATTAGATGTTACAAATGAAGTGCTTGTAGCTGAATGAACTGTTGAACATAGTATGGTTTTACAAGAAATAAAATTATTGCAAACATATTGTTGTAATCTTACATTTTTATTCTTGATAGATTTCTAAAATAAGGTCATAGTTGAGTGATTCATGAGTATATAGCCTAATAAAAATAAGAACTACATACAATACCTTAGATTCTTCTACATTCTCTAAATCTAAATTTGAGGATTCAATGTAACAGATCTTCTTTGTTTCTCTGAATAACATCCTATTCGAAGGCTCTCCTTAATGGAAGTCATACATTCATGGTGAAGAAGACATTTTTGTTGTAGGATATACAATAGAAAAATATAACTACCTTATTTTCCAGTGTTCATGGTTCTTCTCCACGTTGATGTTTATGTGATGCTAGTTCATCAATTTCTTTGGTGACTAAGTTAATAGCAGAAACAGTAGTTTGTTGATGTTGGATAGTTTTTTTCTGTTGAATTTCAGCGTTGTTAGCTACAATCTTCTCATTGTTATGTTTACGCTGGATGACTTTTTTTGTGATCTCGAGCCAGTGTTGTTTTTCGGATCCCTTCTATTTTGAAAGTAACTTAGAGGCATATTTAGAGACACTGTTTGGCCACTTCAAAACCTGATTTGATAATGAACCCAAACTCTGACAACAAACTGCGAAACAATCATTTTTCGATAACTCTGGATTATTTTCCAGTAACTTGCAGACATAAAAATCTATGTTATGCCACTCTTTCATCGGTTTTGAAGTGACATAGGCATCATGAAAATGAGCTTTTAGTGCCATGAAATCCTTTTCAGCCATAATGCATAGCAATTAACAATATGCCAATGTCGAGTAGTCAGTACGTATATCAAATCTATTATATTCACACATATAGTTAGAATGATCGGCAGCAAATGTGACTTGTATTACTCATAATATATTAATATGGGTCAATTTGTCTTAACGACCGCTTGGCAGCCTCACTACATTAGTAACTTAGTGGTGGCGAATGAAGGCACAATCATATGATGATTATCCTAACAATGATTGGCCATTAAACTCATGTAATGATCATCCTAATGATCATATTACGCATACCATAATTGGCTAATAAATTATCTAAAAAATCGCATAAAGACATAAAGTATAGAGTGAAGCCATAATGCAAGAAAAAAGCAAGACAACTTATGCATAAAATAGCAATCATTAATTACAAATTTTTTTACATATTTTATATACAGTAGTCATATATATTGAATATAATTTTTTTTATTAATAGCAGAAATTAAGCTAGCTTAGTCTAATCGAAAAGCAAGCTTTGAATTACGTGGTGGCTTCCAAGTTCTTTGCTGTGTTCTGACCATCAAAACCTCTTGACAAGCTTTCATTTCAACTACTAAGGTCTGTCTCAATTTTCTATATATATTATAGAAGTTGTCATTTTGAATATTATCAGTAACAATGTTTAGTAAAGACTCAAACATTTTTTTATCTTCTACTAACTCAATCTTTCTAGACTCGATTAATTCATTGCGATCATCAAAATCTAATTCTATACTACAGTTATATTTGTCTGTTAAATTCTCTAATTCATTTAAGAAATTTTTATTTATTTTAATCCAAGGATGATTTGCAGAGTTAATACTTGTAGATGCTTTACCAAAGTAGATAAATGGGTAATCATGTTTTCTTGTTGTTGTCGTGTATTGAGAAAAAAATTCTGGATCTTTATCTTTACATTCTTTAACGAGATGTTTATATACTAAATAAGCACTATTTATAAATGCAAACACGAACAGATCCAATTATTGATATCTGTTAGGTATTCATTTTCTGATTTAATTTCTTTAGTTAATGCTTTTTTCCATTCATCTTTAAACCTATCCCACCAGGAAGAAAAAGCCCGATTATTATTGTAGCGATGCCAAGTATTTATTTGATCCGGAATTAAATCTCTTGTCAGAATCTGGGTTAGATGATCTAAACAGAGGCGATTGCAAATATATTTATAGTTATATTTTAGAGTTTGCCAATGCGATTCTATTAGCATTGTTGTTCTTGCTAATGGAATCGCATTCAGAAAAAAAGCCTGGGAAAAAAGATTCCAATCAGCTTTATTGTACCAGTTAATCCACAAATATCTTCACAAACAGACAAAATTTCTATCTTTGCAATACTTATATATTTCCATAATGCTTTCACAATAAATGTCAGCTGTGGTAAGGAAATTTTCTTTATTGATTGGTATTAATAGATGTAAAATAGAATGTTTATAAACTATATTTAAAATTTCATTAATATTTTCTTCTGAATACAAATTATTTTGATCTTCTTTAGGAACCCAAGATATATCAATGAAATCAAATAATTCATTCGCTTCTTTAGCTTTTTGCATTGTATACTGAGTTGATTTACTTTTTTTTTCTTTTAGTTTTTACTAATTGCATGTTTAATGTGCCATAGGCACAATTGAATTTTTGTCTTGCCAGACCATGCTTCTTGTGCGGCTATTATTTGACCTGTATCTTTATCCATAAGAATGAATATAGGAAGAATATCCTCATTTCTTAATCTTAAAAAGAACTTTCTAAGAACTTGTAATCAGGAATGAGTTTTGTTTTTAGGATCCTTAAGAAGATCTTTTGGTACTATAAAGGTATTAATATACAAGTATGCGAGTGGGACTCCATACCCCCACAATTTACTATTACTGAAAATAATTCAAATTTTTGGTTGTTTGTTTTATAAGTGGAATTGATGATAATTTCATTTATATCAACTTTTTGTATTAAACTATTAAAAGAGGTAAAGAATCCGAGTGCCTGTACAAAATCATTTTCGATGTATACTATGACTTTAAATCCTTCATTAACCAATTCTTCTTGCTTTAAAAAGTTTAAAGATGAAAGAAGTTGATTAGATGAATGGGTGACATATTGTTGGGCAGAGAATTTTAAAGCCAATAGTAAATTTGGTTATAGGTATGTATTTTTGGGTCAATAAGTTTTTCTTCATAGAGCCTTTTATATATTTCAGTTTTTCTAAAATTCCTATTTACATTTTCAGATATCCATGTAATAGCGTTTTCAGGTAATTTATTTTCACGATGAGTTGGTTGTTCGTAAGGAATCAAATGTGAGATTTTAATCCTTACTTGGCATACATTAAAATCAATATTAATTGTAATTTTTCCTTTACATG